AAAAATGTCAGAAGTTTAAAATGTGGACCAAGTTGTGAAGTGAGGATGCGAGCAGACAGCTTGTTGTACTGGAAGAGGCAGCGGCAGGTGCGCTTTTATGTTTACAACCTGCAGAGTTCAACTGTAAACCTCATTCTGTCTCCATGAAGGAGCTCTTGACTCACTGATCCTTCCTTATTTACGGGGAACGGATCCGTGCTGCTCTGCCTCCATGGCGCTCACGCTCACCTCTGGCCGCCGCTGCAGACATGAGCAGCAGCTGCAGGTCTGATGTGTGAGGTCCGCTGGTGACTGCGACGAATCAGGACGGATGGATAAATATCAGGCACCGGCACACACTAAATAAGAAAAGCAAGAAACTGAAGAAAGCCCAGTTCTTAATCAATATTGAAATAAATGTGCTGTTTTTCAAAATAAAAGCGCTCCGCATGTATGTGTAAATTTATACACACACATAAACACACACACATAGATAGATAGATAGATAGATAGATAGATAGATAGATACATAGATAGATACATAGATAGATAGATAGATAGATAGATAGATAGATAGATAGATAGATAGATAGATAGATAGATAGATAGATAGATAGATAGAACATGATTAAATTGCCCTAGGTGAACTTAATTTCGTCTAAACGCAAATGTAAATGAGCATGTGCACGAGAAGCAGAAACGGCCTGAAACAATAAAAGCCTTGGCAGCGTTTAAACAGGCGTCAGTGTGTGAGAGAGCATTGTTCATTACCTCTGCAACAGGATTTGAAAGTCAAGAGTTCATTGCGGCCGTTTAACGGCCTCCCTCGGGTGATTAAGGTCACAACCAGGTCAAGGGTTCAGCGTGTGTATTTTCACAGCAAAGTGAATGTGGATTAAGAGCACGAAGGGTGTTTTTTATATATAGGACTTTAATGTATGGGTAATGTACACTGGGTTGTTTAGAAACTGAAAATCTAACTGGCAATTTGGATGTTTTTAGTAGCTTTTATTTTCATGACTTCAAATCCCTATTATTATTATTATTATTATTATTATTATTATTATTATTATTATTATTATACTTGTGCCTGCTCTTTCAAAATAAAGTTCGTGCTCCTTGAATGACAAAGCTGGAAGCGGAGGATTTACTGAACATTGCTTTGTCTAGCCATTGTGAACATGTTCTTTCATTTTGCTCTATTTTTGTTGACAAATACTTCTAATGTTAAGAATCCTGCGGCCCTGTGGCCTTGTGGATATCAGTGGTGAGATTGGATGTTTGTGAGTTCAATTCATAGCCTGTAATAAGTTGACACGGCGCTGCGGAGCGCGCGGGGTTAAGGCCTTCAGAGAGCGCAGCTCGGGGGAGGGACGCGCAGCGCGCTCTGCTGTGGACAATCAGCGGCTTGGATTGTCAATACTTATGTTATTTTGATATTTTAATTGAAGTTGCTTGGGCCTACTGCGGCTGGAAAATGTGTGAAGTCTGACCGTTTCCATTATGGAGCATATATTACTTTCTAGGGAAAGAAGGCTGCTGTAACACAACTGCCCATTAGAAATGAGTGGTTTTAATGAAAAGCCACCATATGTGTGCTTAGTGTCAGAGAATGTGTACATGAGGCAGTTGCCTTTCATTAAAAAATATTGATTAATATCAGAGACTTTTGAACAATAATTAAATAGATTTATCATCTGAAAAAATATCACGTGTTATCTCACCAAGTGTTCCCTGCTGTAAATGAAAGCTTCTATCAGATTTGGTTATTACATTGTCCTCATGCCCCAAGAAGTTCACAGTAAAACATCGACAGCAATACAATAGAATATGTAGCATCTCACAAAAAACGAAGGCACTAACCCTGAAATTCTTCACTAAATCTTTGTTTACTCTGCTTAGCTCAGGTCCTGTGTCTGAGGCAGACATTAATAATCATAAATTGATCAATCACAGACACCCCTGGATGCATAAATCTCATACATTATGCTTTTTCAAGGGAAATCCTATTTTTCCTCCCAGTAACTCTATCTAGAAGTAGTGTTCTTGTTTTGTTGCTGAGTGATATCTCAGCATGCCAGGAGGCTTTCTTTCATTGTTAATCCTCCTCTCTGCTTTAGCGAGAAGACGTCTGCAGCCAATGTTCAGCTGAGAATGAGGAGCAGGGATCAGTCTCACCAACAGACTGAAGAAGCAGCATATTGGCCTTCATTTGCTCAGATCACTGTCCTAAATTGGTGACACAATACACAATACAGCTGCTCAGTTGTCAAAGCGTCCGTGGAGAAACATGATGAATCAGTGCATCATCTTGGGGTTTATTTAATATTCCTGAAATCCTGTTCATTTGAAAACAATCATTGTCAAGTGAGGGTGTTTTGTTTTTTTTGTTTTTTGTAACTATTTCTTCATTTTCACCATTTCTTGTTTTTGACTTGGCTTCAATTCATGATGAAAATCCACTTACAAAGAATTAGATTGAACATTTCATTGAAATGCTTGTGAACGCTCATTGGAAAATGAACTGGCTCATCAGGTTTAGGGTGAGCATGGAAACATGCTGTATTGTGACCACACAAAACTGCACAGCTTTGGTTAAGATTTTCTGAAAAAGTCAATAGCTTAGTGGGTCAGTATCTTTCCAAATGAAGGTCAGTGTAGCACAGTAAAATAACTTTGTCCTTTAGACACTCCATACACTGCTGTTAACCAGACAACTAGTCACTGACCTTGTGCGCTCATTTTACACACCAAAGTGTTCATCACATCACACTTTAACTCTGTTCGTAGATACAGTTTTATTAGAATTCAGATGTACATTTTGATGCACACAGGAGTGTTGCAGATCACCCTGACAAACACGATAAGCGCGGTCATTTCACTGCTGATTGAGCGGCGCTTTGCAGAACAGTAGGTGGCCCACAGGAACATTCCACAGCTCCACCGTCACGGGCCATAAATAAATGCCGCAGATAGAAGCTGAATTCATTCCAGATGCTTCTTCCTACAGCTGTAATTTAATAAATGACAGTTTCACGGGGAGAAAAGAAAGCGGGAAGCTGCGCGCGACGTCACTCTGATTTCCCGGGCTCCCGCTGTCACTTGAACGCGCCGTTTCCACGGTAACAGACAACAGCAAAACTACAGGGACGACACCTGAACAATGTCTCATCAAGGCTCTGTTAGCCGTCAGTCCAAAGAGGAACTCGACTTGTACGAAATGAAAAACGCCGCTGCCGAGTTCTACCGACTGAACAGAGTCCCGCAGGAGATAGAGAGAGCTCTGAACGAGCTGCTGCTCCAGCAGGCCGCAGACGTTCACGGCTACCTGGTAGGCTGCTGCTGCTGCTGCTGCTGCTAGCAGGAGGCCAACAGGCCGAGCGCTGCCCGCTTTGGGCCTTCGTATCTACATTCATTCGGATTATCTTTTAGTTTCTATGAAAATTAGTTCACATTTGATGCATGCAATAACTCCGAAATCGCTGAATACATTTCCTGAATCATTTTCTCCCTTTTATAGAAAGTGTTAACTGGTTTGTTTAATTTCCAAACTTCCGCCTGTTTTTCCAAAATCCAAACAAAGCTGTCAGCAGGGCGGAGCCAGGAGGAGGCCACACTGAAGCCTGTCAGGACGCTTCCATCTCAGCCTTCACCTGTGCTGCCAGCCCCCCATTCAGCAACATACAACCACAATATGACTTTGTTGCCATTTAATGATTTTTTAAAAAATTATTGTCACTGTAAAGTACATAGACAGTATAAAAATAAAGAATCAGTGATGCTTTTATTAGTTAAAGCATGTGTAATTAAGGTTTAGCTGGGGAGGGATTAAACCAACTTTGAAGAGTAAACAAGTGGTACAAACAAACAAAGAACTTAAAAAGAAACGAACTAAAGGCTGGCACACAGTGTATTGTGTCAACTAGGTGCATGTTCTGAGCAGAACAAGGACACTTATGACATAAGCGTATACATGTACTTATGTCATTTACATTGTAATTAACTTATGAACTTTATCAGCAGTTTAAAAAAAGTTTGTTGAACTGTATATGAGTGCTCGTGTACTTCTACATGGCAGTCTTTCTTGCATAAGCAAATTGTAAGAGTGAGTGACCAAAAAAAATGACTACTTGGCCTACAGCGATTCCCTCTGCCTTCCCAGTGTCAGTAATGATGGCCACTGGGCCACTCAACACAAATGATCTGAGTCCACCTCTGGATGGCAACTTGCTGACTACCTGGTTGTGAAACAGAGCTGTAGAATTGGCTTGCCTGAGCCCAAAGAACAGGAGTGTCCCCTTTCCTTTCTTCTTCTCCCTCACTACCACCTATTATCTTTAAGGAAGTGGCTAAAGTGTAATGAAGCAAGAAAAAAGATAGTGAAGTAACACAGAGAAACTGAACAGAATTGAGACAAGTGTTTTTTGGTTATTTTTTTATGTAATATAAGCTCATCTCCAGCAGACTTGTTTTACAATAGATGTGTTTACTGAGTGTAATTAAGGACATGGATAATGGCTCAGTTTAGTTAATACCTTTATTATAACTATGCCAGTGAGCCTGCATGCACAATAAACCTCAATGTAATACAGGCTTTTATAATATTTTAGTTCTACTTGTAATTTTTGTGCAATCAAATGTCAAACCGTGTGCTGTAAACAATTCTCATCTTAAATTTTAGTCCAATAACACTGACAGAACTGTAATGCAATAAAGTCATCACAAGCATCTAAACATTTATTCAAATGTACTGCTTAAATTGTATCCAGCCTGTAATACTCTGTTAGTCTATACATGAGGAAGAATATCTCTCTCTCTCATGAAAGCCGCAGTAAAGGTGAAAGCTTTTTGTCTCATGTGATCAGGCCGGACTACATCCATAAAAATACACCCAGTAAAACCCTTGAGCTATGTGATATTGATCATTGTCCCGAACCTCTTCTGTGCTTCCATGAGACACTTGAAAGACTGCTGTTAAATTATGTATTCATACATAATTTTATGTTTTGTGAAAGTCCACACTATTTTCTAAACTTACATTTTCACCTTGGACCGTTTAGATGAGGTGGATGTTTTGTAGCATTTTTCTACTCGCACTGAGAAGATTTTCTTCTGTTCTGCCTCATTTGAGATAAAATTGCAACCACTAGTTCTACTTTTGGCGCAAGATTAATTTTGTATACACGTTTGTCTTTGAGTGATGTCACTTATCAGTATTAAGAATGTGTCATCCTTAGAAATCTGACAACAGACTGCGGTTTTAAAGTAAATTAAAAAAAAAAAAAATCCAATTTAAATAGATGTTTCAGACATGTCTAGTTGTTTTGGTTCAATGTCATTAAAATAATGCTAGTTCTCGAAAAATGGAGTAAATACTGCTTATGTGTGTTAACATCCTTGCTGGATGAGGAGTTTAACAAATACTTCTTGTACAATGTCCTTGAATGTAACTGTACAAAAGAGTTCTGAAACAAGTCTTTAAAGATGACACTCTGGCTCAGAGAAAATCACATTGTCATAAGATGTTTAACCATCAGCTGTCCTCTCAGGCAGATTACTTTACAAACCTCTCTGCACCACCAAGGATCAGCAGACTGAAGGGAAAGGAGGTTTATGATGCAAGCGGACAACTTTCTATTGAGGCAGAGGTCTTCTGTATCGTCTGCAACAAAGAAAAGGTAAAATCCATTTGTCACGTTTTCCCTTTTTGTCTATAGACACGCACTTTGCATTTTAAAGATCAGCAGTAGTCATATATTATTTAACAGTTTAGCTGTTGCAATAATAGCTTTCCAGTTATAGCTTGGACTGTGGCTGACAATCATATGGCTTGTGTGACAGATTCTGGATTTGCGCAATATCTAACATGCGCAATGAGCACGCCGCGAAGACTGCCGGACATGTGATACTTTAGGAAAATCATTTGTTCATATGTGCCATACATTAAAACTCAGCATGTGTCACAGTGCAAACAAAGACTCAAGTGCGGACAAATACTCGGCAGAACAAACGTTTCAGAATAAAAGATTTATTTACAATATTTACAACAAAATACAGGAAGTGGAAACTAGGTCAAGGGTAACAGCACAAACACACTCATTACTGACACCAAAGGCGTGGCGGACAAAGTGCGTCAAAGTAGACAGAATTAACAAGGATCAAATACATTACTTTTAACTAGCAGGCACACATTTCGAACTTGGTGTCACCAAGCCAGGAAGGTATAAACAAAAATTCAGACTAACCAGGAATAACAAAGACACAAATTTAACAAGTACATGAACTGAAGAAATACAGTTTGCTGAGGACTCAACAGGTGACGTCCAGCTGGAACAGAAACAGAACTTGGATTCGCACAAGGTAACAGGCACGGCGTAAAAGACAGATCGGAGCAGAGCTAGGGTTCACTAACTGAGTAGTAGTTTACGGTCTGGTGTCGTGTCGTGTCAGAACGCTCTCTCACAGGTTCGATTCGGGATATGTGAAAGGTCAGATGAATCCTCATAGAGGCTGGCAACTTTAAGCGGACTGAACTGGGGTTGATAATTTTCTCCACCTCGAATGGATGACAAAACATGGAGCCAACTTCTTAGACTCAACCCGCAGAGGAAGATTCTTTGCCTGGAGCCATACCTTTTGCCCTGGGGCATAATCAGGAGCAGTGGTGCGATGACGATTGGCCTGCTGTTCCATCCTCAAGCTGGCCTTGGTGAGGGATGCCCATGCTCTCTACCATGTCCTTTCACACCTCTTGATGAATGCCTGCACAGATGGTACTACGATCTCCTCTTCCTGTTATGGGAACAATGGTGGCTGGAATCCCATAGAGCACTGAAAGGGAGACAGGCCAGATGAGGAATTGGACAGTGAATTGTAGGCATACTCAACCCACGACAGTTGAGAACTCCAGAGAAATGGATTCTCTTCAGTGACACATCTCAATAGGGTTTCCAAAGACTGGTTTGCCCGCTCGGTCTGACCATTGGATTGTGGGTGGAATCCAGAGGTGAGATTGACCTTTGCCCCCAAGACTTTACAAAAGTGTCTCCATACCTCTGACATGAACTGGAGTCCTTGATTGGAGATGATGTCCACAGGGATACCATGAAGTCTAAAGACCTGGAAAATCATAACATCAGCAGTCTCACTGACAAAGGGAAGTCTGGGAAAAGCAATAAAAATGTGTGGCCTTGGAAAAACAATCAACCACTGTGAGGATGGTAGTATTACCACTGGATGGGGGTAAGCCCATGACGAAGTCCAGAGCACTATGGGACCAGGGTCGTCGTGGAATGGGCAGTGGTTGAAGTAAACCAGAAATGGGATGGAAGGAACAAACAGAACATCTGGAGGACTGTTACCTGGATCAGACTGATTTTCCAGGGCTTGTGCGATGTCTTCCTCCACTTCCCAGGTCATTGAGGCTACCAAACAGATTTTGGGCAGAATGGGCTCTGGTTTACTCGAGGGATGCAGTTTGTTATCAGTGGGATGATGTTGAGACAGGGCTGCTCCTACCCTAGTGTCGGAGGCATCCACTTCCACAAAAAAACTCCAATTGGGGGTCAGGCTGAACCAGATTCGGGGCGGATGTAAACCGGTCCTTCAGGATCTGAAAGGCATGAGCTGCTTCGGTGGTCCAGGAGAATGAATTTGAGGTGGAGGACAGGGCGTTGAATGGGGCTGCAACTTTACTGTAATCACGGATAAAATTTCGGTCGAAGTTGGCAAATCCTAGTAAGCATTGTAGTTGTTTGCGGGTTTCAGGTACTGGCGATTCCTTTACAGATGAGAGTTTCAGTGGGTCCATGCGAATCTCCCCTTGGGAAATGATGTACCCGAGAAAAGAAGCGATGGTAGCGTGGAACTTGCACTTCTCTGCTTTGATGAATGGACAATTCTTGAAGAGGTGTTCGAGTACCTGATGGACGTGCTTGATGTGTTCTTCTGGGGAGTGGGAGTATATGAGGATATCATCAACAAATCGGTTGATTATGTCTCAGAGGTCGTTGTTGATGAGGTTCTGAAAAATGGCTTTGCCATTTGTGAGACCAAAGGGCATGACCAAATATTCAAAGTGACCGAGGGGAGCGTTAAATGCTGTTTTCCATTTGTCACCATGGCAGATCCGAATCAGGTGATAAGTGTTTCTGAGGTCCAGTTTGGTGAAAATGGTTGCTCCATGCAGAGATGTAATGGAGTTGATCAGGGGTAGTAGGTATGTGTTGCTTAGAGTGATGTCATTAATTCCACAGAAAATACAGGGACAGAGAGTTCCCATCTTTTTTATGCACAAAGAATCCGGCGTCAACGAGGTATGAAGGTCTTATGATACCAGCAGCCAGAGAGTCATGGATATGGTTTTCCATTGCGGTATGTTTGGGTCTGAAGAGGTTGTACAAACAGCTTTTAGCCAAAGTTGAACCAGGGAGGAGATCAATGGCACAGTCATTTGGGAAATGGGGCAGAATAGACAGTGCATCGTCTTTATTAAAGCCTGAGGCCAGGTCATGATATTCCTGAGGAACTTTGGAGAGATCAGTGTTCGTTGGTCGGGGTGGAGAGTCAGCAGCGGTAAATGTTAATGTGGATCAAAGACAGTTAGCATGGCATTGAGGGCTCCAAGACTTCACCCCATCCTTCTCCCAGTCGATCAATGGGTTATGGGTCTGTAACCAGAGGTATCCAAGAACTACTAGGGGCCTTGAATGATCGATGATATGGAAATTAAGAGTCTCTGGATGGTTACCAGCCAGGATGCGGTTTACTGGAGCTGACTTGTACCTCACCTTGGCCAAAGAGATGGCACTCAGAGAGTGGGCCACAACGAGAGCCATTAAAGGGATCTTTGGACTCAGGAGTTGTTCGCTAGTTGGCTATCCAAAAAATTTTCCTCTGCTACAGAGTCGACCAAGGCATTGATGGGAACTGACTGGTTCTGCCAGCAGAGTGAAGCAGTCATCTTGAGTCGTTGAGCCATTGTGTCCGGCTGAAGCCAGCTTTTATGGGAAGGAGAGGTGAGAGGATGATTGTTGACCACGCTCCGCTGCAGGTGGGGACACTCAGGTAATCTGCTGAATCACTGCACCTGTCCACACCCCACACACCTGCCAGCACCCGCTGACTTGGGAGAAAGGACAGGAGGGAGAAGAAGGAAAAGAGGGGGAACAGAACTGCCAGTAGGCGGAGTCGGAGGTGGAGGGCATGACAGCATGTAAATATTTGACTTGTCAGATGTGGCCCTGCATCCATGGAGCATGCATTCACACCAATTAAGGGCCAATCAATTGAAGCTCGAGCTGGCTGTCAGCTCCCCTTAGATTAATTGTTGCCAGCTTGGCGATGACTGTGAGATTTGCTAGTATGATGGTTCAGAAGGAAAAGAAGAGTGACAAAAATTTCAAAAGATCTTTTGTTGAGTTTAGAAGGAAAAATTAATAAGAGGAAATCACACTGTAATGTCTTTTAGTTATATGTCTTATTTAAAATTATGTTAATGGGTATTCATGCACAATTAGTTAAAGAAATCTAATTGATTTCATTTCCTTATTTAGTGGGCAGTGGTTATTTAGTGTTTGGGGTCTCTGTTAGCCGTGTTCCAATTAAAGCAGACAGACACAGGATCTCGATGGCTAATATACACACTTGAATGTTTCTTTTCTTATTACCTCTGCCAAGAAGGTTATGTTTTAGCCGGCGTTTATCTGTTTGTTAGCAAGATAACTCAAGTTATGAACGGATTTTCATGAAATTTTCAGGAAACGTTGATAATGGCACAATGAACAGATAATCACATTTTGGTGATGTTCTGGCTTACCATCTGGTTGTTTCTCATAAAACAGTAAACGCAGTTAAGTGTTACAGTTGTGCAGAATGATGTCCTTGCACCGTTTGTCTACTAGATGGAACTCTGACTCCATTCAATCCTCAAGGCTGGAATATTCTTTACGCACGAACATGAAGCGCGGAAATGAGACACGCAGAATCAGCACGAGAAAACGCGAGTGGCTGTTATACTCCGAGCACTCCGCGTGGCGAATATTACCAACAGGACACAGGGTGTCGCAATCACACATATACCACAGAACCAAATTGGAGTAAAAGACTTTTGGCATTGTTTACATCGCTTACAACATGGTGACACACACCCGTAGTTTACACAAGGTTGCAGTAAATACGCAGGATTTAGTAAAAGGCTAAATTCCATCTGTTTTTAGCAGTTTGTGTCCTGTTCTGACGTAATTATCAATAGACTTACCTCATGTGAAGGTAAATTTGAATCAGTTTCCCTGTGCTTGATAAAAGAGTCTGCTGAACTCTCTTGAAATCCGAGGGACATCTTGGCTTGCCCCTTGCGTCTCCACTCCAAAGGTATGTTTTGATTATCTATGAATCTAATAGTCTAGATAAAATGAATGCAGTACTTCAAGATTGGCTGGAAATCACAATATGATGGAAATGAGCTGCTTGACGGAAGTCTGCGCCCTCCAAGTGCTTTTCTAGTTGCAATATGTATCGTCATCAAAACATTCAGCAGTGTTATTGCCTATTGCAGATTTTTTTTGTCATATTGTGTATGCATATCTTTTGTTCAGTGTCAAGACTGAGTACATGCAGATTTAACTAAGGAATAATTTGTAGTGACAGTGAGGGGCCTCTTTAGATAAGCAGGAGGCTCTGATGTGAAGCGGCAGCTGGGGGCAAAAACAGAGCAAAGAAGGTAGCAATCAGAAGACAGACCATGTCCCATGACCTTTGCCATTTCAGTTTTTACTGTGTCACAAAAGCCACAAAGATGAGATGTGAATTATAAACCAAGGTCATGGTGAGGTGACAGAGGGAACACACCTTGCGAGCCTGGCCAGTATGCATGCATCAACGCTTTTGCTTAACAGTGTTTCTTAGTGCTACAATGTCATTGCCAGGAGCAGTTCCTCAAAGCAAAGATAGACCATTAAATACAATTATATAGGATTTAGGATTTGAAAACAGAAATCAAATGACAGTCCAATTAAAGTTATTGTCAGATATCAGACCAAGACGGATGCTGTAGTTAGGGAGTGATGAGTTGAAGGTAATGTATATTAACTCATGTTTTCCCCCCTACAACCACACTGCTGACTGGAGGGCAGGCAGATGTAACTGTGTTAGTAGAGCAGTTGAAGGATAAGTGATTTGACTTGTCATAGTCTGAGCTCCACTTTTGTTTTGGCACAGTATGTCTAAAATGATCGGTCTAATATGGTTCTGCACAAACACACTATAATTTGAAACATATGTAGTGTTACGATTTGTTTCAGATGCACAAAATGTTGAGAATAGTGGGACCTTGTTGTTGACTAACAATGTTACTCATAAAAACTGTAACCATATATATTGGCTTATATTGGCAACTAGCTTGTTGTTAACCTTTTGAAGGAATTCTGCCCTTTCTTGGTGTTCAGAGCATGTCCTCAGCTGCTGTCTCGAGCCACCTTCCACCCATGGAGACTTCACTACACTGGAAAGCTAAGAGCCAGGAGAGAGTCGATCATGTGATGACTGCTGTCCAGTGGATCAATGAACAGCTTAACAGCATGCTGAAGGACCAAAACCCCTGTGACCAATCAGAAATTGACCATATACTCAGGTAGTGTTTGTTTTTTACAAGGCAATGTGAACGGTTGCATCTCTGGAGGTAGATCGAAATGAAAAAAAAAAAAAAACAAGGTTCACAGACCTTAGATTTCTCCATCTATAGATATTCCACAAAGTAAACTGAGATGTTTGTGCTGCTTTTTTACTCATAGTTATCTTTGTCTATTTCATATTTGTCCACAAATGCTATCAGTAGTAAATGGTCCACAGTTATGAAGCACTTTCAGCCTTAGCAAGGTTTTTATGAAACTCTTTGCAAAGTACATTGTTTCTCATTCCCACATACACTTTCACAGAAATGGTGTAAATGGCTGTAAGATATTTTTTATTCTTCAAGTTTCCACAAGTCATTTTCAGTGGAAAGTTGTGCTGTATTTGCTGTAAATGCTGTTTGAGAGGCTGCCACCGCCGCCACCGCCCAATGGTGGAAACAGAACTGTGAACGCTAATCTAATAACCTAAACTGGCATTAGCAGCCAAGTATTGCCCATGCATGTTGGATTTCCAAAATTTATGACCCTAGTTACTCTACATTATAGCTGTTCACATTAATTTGATTCCACTACATTGTAAAATACAAAGTAAACAGACAAGCATGTTAAATAAATAAGTCGTGCCATTCTTGTGCATTAAGATCCAACTGGGTCACATGTAGGTCACTGAGAGCTAACCTCCTAGTGCGGGGTCATATAGAGGTTAATACTTTACTCCGGTTTGCCTGTTGTCACAGCCTATCATATCATCATGAGCACTGAGCTTCTCTTACTGGCTGTTTTTGCATTATGTTTTGTGACACAATAGAAAGCATAATGAGTTGTACGCATCAGTATGGTTTTGGGGTGGAGAGGATGCTGACATACTTATCTTGCACTGCATAGATACATAGCATGTGCTGTGTATACGCAGGCCGCATTCCTGAGAAGAAGAGAGTGAAATTAAATTGACAGCTAAATAATGTCTACAGCTTTCACATGAAAAGCTTCAAGTAGTTAATACTGGTAAGCTTAGCATGTCTTAATTGAGAGCTAATTAGTTGCACAACAGAACACAGCCGGTCACATGCTAACACATACAAACAGCATCACAAACAACCACACATTTCTAAAAAGATCTAAAACTAAAAGTTTAAATTTATCCAGTGGAGCCTTTTTTAAAATTCATTTCAGTTAAATGGATGCAAAGCACTGGAAGAAAATGTGATATGTGGATGCAAACATTACTAAACTCAAATGAACTAAAATGATAGGGTATAACTCCTATTGTTGCTAGTAAAGACCAGCCTACTTTTTCATGGTGCACAATGATAGGGGGAGTATTTATCTCCTTAAATGAAAGACAGGGTGCAGTGGTAAACTATGCCAAGGTGTATAAGGGTGGAACAAACAGCATAAAAGTACATCCTTTTTCTCAGAGAGCTTTGCTTAAAGAGCAGCCTTGTCTAGAGCTTCTTGTTTTCATGACAATAAACCTTCATTTTGTGTTCTGTAAACGGGCAGTAGTTTCTTTATGGCTCGCTACCTGGAGGAGAAGACCTGCAGCAGGGAGAAGCTGGAGAGTTACTCACTGAGCCAGCCTGAGGTGGTGGTTCCTTCTCCAACACCGATACAGACTAAAGATAAGAAAAGTGCTGATAAAGGTAGGGTAGTGGCTCGACTACTGGTACCAAAACGACAATGTCCCCAATTCTAACATCTTGCACCAGCAGCCAAATACTGAACCCAGAACAAACTTTTGAGTTTTTTCTTTGAGAGTGATCCTAGAACTGTCAGAAAATACAGAAAATGAATTATGTAAAGAACTTGCTTGATAAAATGGAGGATTTGCATTTGTATATATAACAAATTGTGCAGTGCAGTGATGTTGACATGAACATTCTGGGATAGCATGAACTGATGGAAGTCACTGACACAGACTGAATCCACAGAAGGACCATAGCAAGTTCTCCAAGATGCTGAACGGCCATCTACCAAGTACCCTAGAAACTGTGTGCAAGTGTACTGTGTGCTATCTTAAAAGCAAAGGGTGCTCACATCAAACACAGATCTACATTTAGTTTCAGTTTACTGCACTTCATATAAAGTTAATTGTTAATCATCTGTTGCACATTGTACTGGTGATGGATTAGAATGTAAATGTCTAATGTCCCACACACATTATAACCATATACACCGCTTACAATGTCAGTCAACTGTTATGTAGGTCTCTTTGTGCTGCCAAAACAGGTCCAACCTGTCAAGATCTAGACACCACAGACCTCTGAAGATGTCTTGTGGTATCAGATATTAGCAGCAGATCCTTTAAGTCCTGAAATTTACAAGGTGGGGCCTCTATGGATCAGACTTGTTTTTATAGCACATCCTTCAAATGTGATTGAGATCTGAGGAAGCTGGAGGTCAACTAAACACCATGAACTCTTTATCATGTTCCTCAAACTGTTCTTGAACAATGTTTGCCATGTAGCGTTATCCTGCTGTAAGAGGCCATAGCCGTTAGAGAATACCATTGCCATGGAGGGGTGTATATGATCTGCAACAATGTTTGGATAGGAGCTACATGTCAAAGTATCATCCTTATGAATTCAGCACCCAAGGTTTCCCAACAGAACATTGCTCAAAGCATCACACTGCCTCTTTTGTACATCCTGCTGCATCCAGCTACATCTTTTCCTCAGTTAAATGGTTCACATGCACCAGGTCGTCTCCATGATGTAAATAATGTTACAATGTTGATCACTTCAGTAGTTTTAGTTGACAGTAGTTTTAATGTTGTGACTGATAGTGTACATTTCTGCAAACCTTGGTGCTGCTATGACAGGAAGGTGTCAGAACACAGTGCATTGCAGCTTGCTGTGTGTTTAACTGTGCAGCTGCAGACCGGTCAGAGCGTCCATGCTGACTCCTGTACACCACTGAAAGTTTGTGTTGAAGGCAAGGAAGCATCAGGATTAAAGAGACTTTAACAAGGACCAAATTGTGATGGTGGCTGACTAGGCTGGAGGATCTCCGAAACAGCAGGGCTTGTGAGGTGTTCCTGATGTGCAGTGGTTAGTACCTACCAAAAGTAAAACAGCTACTGTGGGTGAAATTGCTGCTCCTTTTAAGTTCCTTTTTGGAAGGGCATCACCTAAAAGCTCAAAGTCTGCTTTCAAATTCCTGACTGTCACATGGCTGCTTGTGTTGTAGTTTCTAACTTTCTTTTATTTTTGCTTACATTACAGTCAAAAAGAACAACATTGCAGAGAAGCCATTTCTCCCAGCAGAGCTGTCAGAACCAGTTCTGCATGGGAGCTTGGCTATTGGCTCACTGTCGCTGGCTGTTTCCAAAACAGGGGCACAAATACAGGGCATCCCTCTCTACAAATACATAGCAGCTCTGACAAGGCGTGAGGTTTGACCACACATGCACAAACACACATTTACACAAACGCAGCATTGTGAGCATCATACAATGATGTCTTAAATACTTTTGTACAGGCTCCAACACAGTTTCACATCCCGGTCTCCTTGGTAACATTGCTGAGCTGTGGGAAGACTTCTCCAGGAAAACTGAATTTACTCAAGGAAGTTATCCTAATACCCAAAGTGGGACAACGAGTTAAACAAGTAATTACCACTGTTGAGCCACATCTCTGTGCAATGGTTACATTTTCTTTTGGTCTGCTTAGCATTGGCAGTTGAAACAGGCTTGTTCACGGTTTTAGTGTTCTTTGTGCACACTTCTTTGCTTCTTTTGTTGTTGTTATGATGTGGTACAATATTGGTAAGGCACCTTGGTTCTACAATTTTCCTTTTTTCATTGTTGCATTTATAAAACTTATTGAACTGTGAACTTCTTCAACAGATCATCACAATGACCCTTGAGTTACAGAAGGAGATGATGAGAATAATGAACACTACAACAAAAGCTGGGGTGAGGGACACTACTATTTATTAATTGTAAAAATAGGAACCGAGTTCACACAGTCTTTATGAGAGCAGAGAAGGTAAAAGGTGGAGGCAAGATTCAAAGCTTTTTCTGTTACTGAGCTTTCCTAAAAGAGATATATATAAAAGAAGAGTTCTATTTGATTTTCACGGCTAATCTTCAAATTAATGTTGGCATGCAGGCCTGGAGGTGTGTTGAAATGCTTATTAAAGCATTCAGTACTTTCCCTATTTACCTTTAAATCCTTTCTGCAGCATTTCTGTTGTATACACAGAAATACCTTCTGCATCGCGCAGTGACCCCTAGAACTTGCATTCATAATGTGAACAGTAAGTGGAACACCGTTGCCATGAAGGGGTGTATGTGGTCTGCAACAATGTTTAGATAGGTGGTATGTGTCAAAGTAACATCCACATGAGTGCCAGGACCCAAGGTTGGCAGAGTGTGAGTGGTACACACTTGGCTTCTAATAACCTTGCAATGACAACTGTCTCATTCAAACCTACAGTATGAATATATACTTATCTATTGTCATTCACATTTAGCTTCAGCTAAGCTACTTTTCAACTGACATATCCAAAGACCAGATCAGTTTATGTTAATGTATTCATTACAGTTGATATGTAAAAGCACAATACCTAGCTGTGGTTGACAGGGTGAACCCTGTGTTTGCTCCAAGGCACTGCAGGCCATTGTGAGTGACAGCGGAGCGCTGACTGTGAGTTCTGAGCGACCCGAGCAGCCTTTGGACCTGATCACTGAAGCCTGCGGTAACCTTGAACTGACACTGGGAACAGATATCTGTTTAGCAGTGAACTGTGCTGCTCCTGAAATAATGGATTACGTAAGTTGACAAAAGGTAGTCAAAAGCTTCATGTGAGCCAAGATGTTGAGAGTCCATGTTTAGGACACAGCTAAAGAGGACTGTTCCCATGCACATACAGCACAGCAACAGTGGATAAAGAAACAACAAGAGGTGGAAAAGGTTTATTTTCTGCTTCTTCTTTACTTTACAGTCTAAAGGGAAATATGAAGTTGCAACAGGAGTCCTGAAGTGTCCAGATGAGTTAGTGGACATGTACCAAAGCCTCATCTGCAAATACCCCGCAGTGGTGGCTTTAATCGATCCATTTAGAAGAGAGGTAAGTTCAATGCATTATTAGTCATTTATCAACATTTCCAAGCTCATGTATATGTACAGAATTGTTTATATAATGCTTATGTGTTATGTTTACTCTTCAGTTATTCCACCTGTCAATGTGTTACATCCATCTCTCAGTCCTCTCTGATTTCCCTCCTGTGTGGGGGTCCCATGGTTTCTACTGAAGATGTAAACTTTGTAAAAGTAGCAGCAAAGTACAGTTTCATTTTCAAAAATGCTCAGTAAATGGTTAATAGAGCTCGTCACTGTAACAGAGTCAAACATGAGCAACAGTGCATTTGTCTGGGTCATTTTCAGTGGCATGTCATTATGAAGGCGTGAAAACTGTTGAACCCTAGAAAACTCACTTGCAACAGGAGTTTGCAGTGGGATAACCCACTGAGAAGTCAGCATGTTGCCATAGTTACATACGCAGACTTGACGATGCTCGTTCTGACAGGTCTAGGATCATCTGTCACAGATCATGTTCTACCAGAAATTTGCAGCTTACAAACATTATGCATTATATTAAACATATTTTTTCATTGTTTATCCTGTGTGTGTATGTGTGTGTGTGTGTGTGTGTGTGTGTGTGTGTGTGTGTGTGTGTGTGTGTGTGTGAGAGAGAGAGAGAGAGAGAGAGACTATATTGTATATATATGCTTATGGATGACCATTTCTGTAGCATTGTCTTCACTTTAACTAGTATTGTTGTTGTTGTGTGTTTGGGTTCTGTAAGGACACAGACCAGTGGGAGAAGCTGAGTAAAACGACCGGAGGCTCATGTTCGCTGATATCTGACATCACGTACAAGTCAAAAGCCTCGCCCCTTCCAGGAGTCAGTGGTTTTATCTTAAAACATGTCAATGAGACAACAGTCAGTGACTTGATCTGCATCACATCAGAGCACAAAGGTAACGTGTGGAGACGAAAAGAAGATGTAGAATCAGTGCTGGTGGGAAAAGCTAGTAGTCACACTTCTTTTCCAAACCCTGTGTGTTTTTCTATGACTTACTTTAAAAAAAAAAAAAAAAAAAGAAAGCAGGTGGTGTAAAGAAATAACTAGTGTGTCAGACAAACAGTTTTCACAGATAACAGCTAGATTGGACATGTTTTGCAGACATCCTCATTATCATTCATTCAGTTACTTTTACTGTTCATGTGCATGGGGTTTCTAATTGCAGATATCTGCAATTCAGTTGCAGATATCCACAATGTGAATTGCAGATATCTGGAACGGAATTCTGACTAGTTTTACCCTTACAGAAAAACCACATGAATTTCTCCTGTTATCCACGTGTGATCACATGAACATGTCAGCACATGCCACAACATAGTGAGGCAGATGTGAAACACACTATGTAGCCCACATGTGGAAAACATGGCACCACAGATGCTCTGGGGGACTCATCAGAAGTTCAGGGTTCAAGCCCAGTGGATTTCACATAGTAATACACGTGGGTTTTACCATGAAAGTGTTCAAAAATCATGTTTCCCATGTAAAGAGTACATATTTCACATGTAATCCACATGT